CACTGCCCATGAATCCCTGGAGGAAGAGCGGCATTTTTGGTGTAGCTATCTTTCACTTTTATTTTACCTCAATGGGATTTACAGGCTGACCATGCACACATATTGAAAGTTGAGAAGAAGGATGGATGAATCTGTTGGGCCAGTCATTGCTTTGGTTGTTTCCCATAATGATCCACTCTACAGATCGTACTCATGCTTCAAGTTCATGAAGTCCAAGCTGTCTTAATTTGTCTAGTTTATTCATCGTCCTGGCCTAAAGTAGCAAGGCACCCCAACGTGGTTAAGGTCTATTATGCCAAGGAAGAAAAGCTCCTGGTGTAGACCATGAGATGAGTGTTTGGAGTTGTGCCCCAATGAAACTCAGCCTGTTTGAATTGATGAGCTTCTATCACCTTAATGGTCAACCATAGTCAACACCGGTCAAAATGCATGCTCTTTATATTTAGAGATGCCAGGCATCAATCTCAGTGCCAAGCAAGGACTTTACCATCTAACGATCTGAGCTACATAAATAAAGCCTTTATATTGAACAGAATTATTACAAAATATGAATTATGTTTTATGTTTTTATTTTTGACATATTTTAATTTCAAATATTCTTCAATTATTTAAGTTCACAACAACACACAACAAAAAATTGTGTCCTTAATTATAGAAAAAAATGTGATTGCATGTGGGAGCATTATAATTTACATATGTGTGGATTTATTTCTTTTCTTTCGAGTTACATGCAAAAATATTATGCACACAAACAGTTTTTGTTTGCTATATAAGTAATTAAAATGTGATTGTGTGTATAATATTTTTGTCATAGGATCCATATATACATGGGTATGACACCTCAAACTACCATGCAAGACTAATATCATGTCCACATACAGCATAATATCACTGTAAATCTAGTGAGAGTTTTTGTTTTTTATGTGTGTTATTGAGTGCAAATTTGTGATCTTTTTATTATAATCATTTCTCTCCTCCTTGACATGTCTTCTATTTGCTTTCAATTCCACATGGCTATACCTCATTTTTCGCAGCTTTGAGGTATATTTTAATCATAGTGCACACTAATATAAGTATGGTGTTTCAATAGCTTTTGCAAGTGTTTCTTTGGATGTTTGATGCGTTGAGTGCAATGGTTTTTTGCAAGTGTATCTTGTTGTAACTACAGTAAAGTGTTAGTTTCATTGATTTCTTATATTCTTAATCATACATATATATTTTTGGCATCACAGGACATGTTAATTTGTTGCACTTGGGCTTAATATAGAAAGCACTTTCTATTACCTTCACTAAGAAAAGTTCCTCAAAAATGTAATGATGGCAAACTTAGTCTATAATATCTAAAAGATGTTCAAAATCCAACTAACCATCACATCCATAAGCCCTAACCAAAAGTTTAAACCTTGCAAATGTGTCAAAAAATCTGATGTGGAGTTAACACAAAAATCATATATATAATATTGACATAGATTTTGCTATACATATGTGGCAGACATTAAAATATATTATGCTCATAATATTATTTTGTAAGTCATAATAATTTAAGCACATATATTTTTTTGTATATATATCTTGCAGGCTTGCATGATTTTTTGCCAAGCCACCCATCCTAGATACATCTCCTTTCTTGGGAGGTGTACCTCCCCCCACCAAAACTACCATCACAAATTGCTTTCCATACTTAATCTACTTAAAACATATAAAATATTAATGATAAATGCGTTCAACCAATGTTATATAGATATGAAACCAATTTATGTGTGTTTAAAAATATTTTAAACATATATCTTAAGAAAGCCTAAACTTCCAATGATAATTTAACTTTTTGCAAAGTTTAAAAGAGATATTTTATAGAAATAATTTCCTGTGTGTTTCATACAACAGCGCTTAGTTTGCTTAATAATAGTGTTATTCATATTTATTAATCCAATTAATCAAATGGAAGTTTATGTTCATAATTTATAAATATAAGATTAATCTTATTGAATATCTTAGGTAGTGGATATGCCTAAAATATGTTTGGATATTATTTAAATTATTCTACTATCTAACGGTTGTTATTCATTTAGATTCATCTTGTATTTATAAATTATAAATATGTTAATAATTTATAAACTTTCCTAAATATTTTTATTATATTCTAGATTATTCTACACTAACTATTATGTTATAACAATTGATAATTGACACAAACTTTATTAATGTAGTGCATGTGGTTTGTACCCTTTATCCTATGATGATTTACCATAAGATAACCATGAAGCAAAACCTAAACCCTCCATATGCCACATGTCACATACCACATGCCACATGCCATGTGTCCAAAGGACAATTGTGGAAGCCAAGTTTTAATGCCTTGGGCCACTGAATAAAGGAACGGAGCCAAACTTACAAACATGGAGTCAAAGAGCAATGTAAATTTTGTTGAATACCAAGAGATTACCACCAGGATTCATGTAAATTCTTGCTCTAGGAATGTGCTATTGCTGGTGAAGATTTTTGCTTAAAGAATTAATTATAAAAAGTTTTAGTTACAGTAAGTTTGAAGATGTTTACTTGTCCTTTATACAGAGACATCCTAATAATAACTTGTCTATGTCTAGATATCATTGAAATATATGGAACCTAACACTAGGTGATGGTATATTAAAGATACTAGAATCAATTGACTAAATTTGAATTTGCTATAGTTTTATGTGTGTGTAAGCATGATCAAAGCTCCAATTATTAATAAAAACAAATTAAGCAATAGTATATATTATATATCTATATGTAGCTCATGTTTATCAATTAAATTGATCAAATAGAAATTTATAATTATAAATATAGTTATAATTTATAAACACCAGATTAATCTTATTGAATATCAACCATTAGATGGTAGAATAAACTAGAAAATACAAGAAAGTGTTTAAGAAAGTTTATAAATTATAAATACAAGATTAATTTAAATAAATAACAAAAAATAAATGGTAAAATATCCTGGAATATACAAGCATATTTTAGGTATATTCACTACCACTCCCCCTAAAAGTTTGCTTAACAAAACCAAAAAATCAAGATAATATATGCAGTATTTGATTAAGCAGTAGTATTTTAAAATCTTTTTTTTAAGTACAGCTATATTTTATTAGTACATAATACTATAGAATATAAGATTTGAATTTACTTGTATATAATATATTTTTATAAAATATTTTCTTAGTAATTATTTTCTTTACTGGATCTGGGTGTAACTAAATTATTAATGATTATTTTTAGTCAATATTCTCTTACTTTTGTTTGATAAAATTTTAATATAAATTTATCCCAGTAAACACTAATTTACATGTAACATCTAATTAGTATTAAAAATTCCATTTTTACTTTTTCCTGTTCTAAATATGTTAATATTTCCAAATAATACTTTGTATCTAATATTTTTATTAATAATTACTTATTCTTACTTATATATTCATATTATCAAATTCACAAGAATCAAAGGCCTTGGCGAATTTGCAACTATAGAGGCAATGTAGGTCAATCCAGCGATGCAAGAGGGCTGGAAACAACGAGCGCCTAGAGAGACCTCGGCCTCCGGTAAGATTTTTCTCGTCTCGAGTTCCATGGAACGTTGGTTTTTCCTATTTGTGTTCGTGTCTAGTTCTTAGCAGTCCCCCAGAGGGGTGTAGAACGAATAAGAATTTTTTCGTCTCTAGTTCTTAGCAATGCCATGGAACTCGGTTTTCCTGTTTGTGCTTGTGTCTAGTTCGTTTAGCACTTGGATTTTCCTGATTGTGTGTGATCCCGTGCCATGAAACTTCGGTTTTTCCTGTTTGTGTGTGAGTTTTTTTTGTGTCTAGTTCTGAGCTGGAACTTGGTTTTTCCTGTCTGTGTGTGATTCTTTTCGCCATGGAAGTTTGTGTGTGATTTTTTTGTGGAACTTCGGTTTTCCTCTTTGTGTGTTGTTTAAACATTTTTGGACATGGGAAAGTGATCCGATTTACTGGCAGGCGATCGTCGTTCCGGAGAAGGAGCTCGCGCTTTTTCTGGGTTTCGCCCCGGCTGCTAGAATTCTTCGTTCCTCCACCAGTTTTTCTAGACGCGGAGTACTACGTTCTCTAATATACACTTCACAGAGCTTTGGCTGAGCTCAAAGGTGAGAGGTTTCCTTTAGTTCTGCTTCATTTCTTTGTTTACTGATCTCACGTTTGGGACTTCTTCCAAGAGCAGGGATTCCTCCACCGGGGCCGAGCTTCAAGGTTGGAGAATGATCTGTCTAGTTTTGGAATCTCACGAGTTCTCTTTCTGGCAGCAGGATGAGATGATAATGGCCAAACACGTAACGTTTATCCGTGAACTTCAAGAATGGATCGCCGCTAGTATTGATATCAAGTTTATGGACGACAAGCTGACCGAAACCAGTGCCTCGGGGCGGTCCAAGAACGTCGTCGGAGCTTCATATCGCTAAGAGGAGGTGCGTGTTCTACGCGAGCTAGCGATTAGGATCATATTCGACAGATGCCTGCGCCAGGAAACTCGAGAAAGACGTCTCAGTTTCGAGTGTTCATGCACTGACGTTCTACTCTCGTTTTCTGGAGGCGATCTATGAGTTTGAAAGATCGACGAACTGGTGGTGATGAGGTTGGATCCAGCATCACGGGGTTTTGTTGAAGAGGAACCAAGAGCGTTGTTGCTTTCAAGTTTTTGTTTAGTATCATCTTCGTGCCAGGAAACTCGAGACATGAAATCCGAGTGACGAGTGTATGGGGAATATGCTTTTCGTTTGAAAAAAACCGCGCTCAAAGTTTTGCCTTATCCAACTCGTGGGTGGGGCCGAATTATTTTTGATATCTATTGACAAATGGGGCCCGACCAAATCAAATTCACTGCAACTAGACAGTGGTCGTAGCAAACAAAAATCTTTGGTCCAATTGATCTCGGCCGTGGATCTTGGAGTAAAGCTAGTTGTATAAGAGCACAAAGAGGGAAACGAGAGAAAACGTGCTCATAGGGATTTCTCCTGGATGACTGACACTACAGGTTCCATTCTTTTTTCTATTTCCTCGAGCGAATGAGAAGATCTCAACAGAGGTTTCTTCTTGCAGAGAGCTTTCTCGCCATGTTCGAGTTCTCGAGTGACTCGTCCGGAGGAATCGCCTGTGATTTCAAAGGTGAGATTCCAAGTTTTGTCTTTGTACCTCAGGTCGATGATCTCTCAGGAGTCACCATGCCAGAACATCACCTAGAAGTCGAAGGTAAGTTCTCTTCAAACCTTCCAAAGTTCCTGGAGCTTTGGAGCAACGTAAGTACCTCGAAATGCAAAGCCATAACTTCACAGAGACTCTGTTTCCTTACCAGACTTCCTGATCCAAGACCAGAGTGGCAATGAAGAGGACGAGGAAGAGAATCTGACGAAGCTGCGAAAGGAGAAGCGGATGCAATCCAACCGCGAGTCGGCCAAGCGCTCGCGCCTCAAGAAGCAAATCCAGCTCGAGGAGACAACGCGGCTCCTCGAGCATCTCCGCCAGCAAAACGGGCTCCTCAGGTACAAGGTAAGCCTGGCTGTGAACGAGTATCGCGAGTTGATGCTGCACAACCGTGAGCTGAGAATGAATGCCCACAACTTAAGCTACAGGCTCCAGTATCTCGGCCTCGCTGCCTCTTCTCTCAGCATCAACACTGCCACTGCTGCCCCTGCTGCTGCTGTTTCTTCTCCTGCTACTGCTTCTACTGCTGCTGCTGCTGCTGCTGCTGCTTCTGCTTGGATTTCAGAAAGAGAGATTTCGAGCAGAGAGTGATTAGAGACTGAACTTTCTTCGCTCTCTACAGGTGGTACCTCTCTTTTAGTCGGTCTCGGATCCATAGAGTCGTGCTCTAAAAGCTTCTTTCCTTTGCTCCTTGCTCCTTGAGGTGGTCGGTCCTAGAACTGCTGTCTGTACCGAGTTCTCTCTCTCAGGTAATGTCAAGCTTATCCGGGTACTCCGGGTCTTTTGCTTTCTTCGTTTTTCTCCGTGTCTCTGTCTGTGAAAAACTTTCAGGAGATGGATCAGTACCAGCAAGTTCAATCGGAAAAAATACCAAGTACCAGAGATACCGGAGAGTTTTATGTTTCTTAAGAAAAATCTTTGTTCATGGTGGAAATGTAGTAACAATGGCCCAGACGTACACGGCCACCACCTAGATGTTAGCTAGTATAAAAGAATCCCCCCAAGTGTTAGAGAGAAAGAGAGAGGAAGAAAAAAAGAGTACAGTATTTTTTCCTTACTTTCCCCAGAGTTGAGATGAAGAAAGAAGTCGTCTTCGTCGTCGTTGTCATCGTTGTTGTTACGTCTGTGCATTGCTCCTGCTCGAAAAGCGTTGGTTGATAATACAAGTAGCGCCAGCTATCTCGACTTGGACGCAGCTCTGTTGGCCTCCTCTCGAGAAGACGGGAAGAGCTCCACATATCTATTCCCCAGTGTCATCTTGTCCTTGTTCATGGCCGCCTTGGAGTCCCCCGGTCCCAAGAAAAACACGTACGCCTCCCCGGTCGCCCGGCCATCCGAGTGAACTACAATCTGCACGCTGTCCTCCTTGAGCCCAAACTCCCGGAAAAACTCCACTATATCCCGCTTGGACGCCGAGAATGGCAGCCCCCGCAGCTTGAGCACCCCCGTGTGCTCGGCCAGATCCTTGTCACACAAGCTGTTCTTCCCGCTGCCACCACCACCACCACCACCACCACCGCCACCGCCACCTCCACCTCCAGCGGCCGAAGAAGCGAGCGTTGCCAAGACATCACCGGACCTGGGATCGTTAACTTCCGTGGCCACGGCACTGTAGTAGTCCTGCTTCTTGCTCCGGAAGACCTCTACGTACCTCCGTCCCATATTCTGCCTGTTCCGCTGGAGAGCAAAGTCGACTTGCATGGGAGCTCCCAGCACCACAAAGGCCTCGCCGGAGAACCTTCCCTGTTTCCGGACGAGCAGCACATCCACCACATCCAGGCCTGCAAAGAATTCGAATACGTCACTCTCTGAGCAGTTAAACGGGAGTCCTCGCAGTCGGACAACTGGGAATGGTCGCGGCTGGCCCAGGAAGGAAAATCCGGGGCCCCCGTACATGAAGCTCGCATGAGCAGCAGTGGCATGAGGCGAGCTTCCAAAGTAAGAGCCTGCAGTGTCTAGCAAGCGCTGCCTCTTTGCTGCTGCAACCTCGTATCCGTCGGCACTTCCCCCGCTCCCCAATAAATTCCTTAAAACAGAGAAAAGCCCACCCCATCGACAGATGCTCAACAAACTTTGAAACTTTTGTTTTTGGGTGTGTGCATAGCTCTAGCTTGTTCTTCCCATCCCACTTAACAAGAAAAATAAAGAAAAAACCTCTCTAGAAACTTTCACACACAAACACTCTTTCTCTCTTCTTTCACAATTCTTTGTGCTGTGAGTTCTTTGTTCTTACTCTTCTTCTCGATTTTTTTTTTTCTCTGTCTCTCGGACTGACTCGCAAGTAGGAAACACTCGTTCCTTCTTAGCTGTGGATTTAGTGTGCCAGACACAGGCCAAGGCAGATGTTTCAGGCAATCCAGGAAGAAATTTCTCTCTTGAAATGCAGGACTGGGACTGGAATGACCTATAGATCCTGATGCATTGCCGCAAGGATTGAGAGAGCTTACCCCCTGGAAAACATCGCTGCGCGCGCCGCGATCCCACCTCTCCCAGCGAATCGCACAACGCTTGCCCTAACCGCAAAACTGCCTCGGCAAACAGTAAAGGGCCTTTTTTGCAACGAAATATATGCTCTTGGGATATTCCCGCTAGAACCCTAATTCTTCGTTTTCTCGTGTCAAAGAAGCGCCCGCGCGGGCTATGGCGGAGCTGGAGGAGGGATCGCAGGAGGAGCGGGTCTTCGGCATTCGCATCGTGAACCTGGATTACTACACGGCGGCGCCGCTGGTGGACATGGACGAGTGCTACTCGCATTTCTTCGGTGAGCTGGGATTTCTTCGTTTTAGCGGTGAGATTTAAGGAGAGATTGCCAGGGAGGAGCGTGATGGAAGTTCCTGTAGTGAGAATCTATGGTTCTACTCTCGCGGGGCAGAAGACTTGCTTGCATCTTCACAAGGTAGTGATGATTTAGAAGCCGAGAAATCACTCGCAATTGTCCAATTTCAGGCTCTCCCATACTTTTATGTTCCTTACGATGACGATCTTCCTCAGAGCTTAGAAGAAGGTACTACGCGAATCTCTTTTCTCCATTTATCTTTTCTCTTTCAGCCATGGCATTTGTCCGGCGTTTAGCGTTGGCTCTCGAGAGAGCTATGAAGGTAACACTCAATTTTACTTGATACATGCCTTAGTATGATCTTTGCACAGATGGCTAGTGCCATTGGAGCCAAGAGACAACACGTACATTCTTGCGACCTCGTTCGAGCGAAAAAGTTTTATGGCTATCATCCATCCGAGGACACATTCATCAAAATAACTTTGTATCCTTGGGACTTTTTATCTCTCTCTCTCTCTCTCTCTCTCTCTCTCTCTCTCTCCTATGAGCTTTTCTTGACTGATCGTAGATACTACCCTCAAGAAGCGAGCCAAATGAGCGCGTTTCTACTGGTAATAAGCTCCAGTGATGTTTCTTTTCTCGTAACACAAACTTTGCAGAGTGGTGGAATTTTAAACCGCAAGTTCCAACCTTACGAAGCTCACATCCCTTACCTGCTGCAATTGAAGGTTAATCAAGGCTGTGATTGTTTCGATAATAATGATGTTTCCAATCTCAGATGGACTACAATCTGGCAGGAATGGGACTCTTAGAAGTCTCGAGTTTGCGCTTTAGATCGCCTTTACCCGACACGCCGAACGAGAGGAAAAGGAAAATATCAGCACTCAACACTCCAGCCGCTGAAAACGATGGCAGCTGGTTTACATCGTCAAGTGATTACGACATTCATGATTTTTGGTTATCTTCGAACATCCCATCGCACCAAGTTTGGTCAGATCTCTCTCAGGATAAAGCGTCGCCTTCCAGATGCAGTACATGCGAGCTAGAAGTTGATGCTACCGTAGAAGGTTTGTTTCTTGACGTTAGCTTGTAAGATCTTATTCTGACATTGACGCTGCTGCAGCGATCCTCAACAAGGATTCACTTTCTTATACGCCTCTGGAGCAAATAGATCCTGGAAGAATGCTCGTGCAGTCTTTGATACCTATCTGGGAGGTGCGAAGAAGCCCGCAAGCTGCTTGCTCTTAGACGGTGTAAGACATCGTTTCAGTCTGCCGTCTTTGTGCATGGCATGTTTCTTCCAGAAATAATCTCGTTCATGTCCCTTGTTTTACAGGGACAGGAGCAAGAGGACTTGACGAGCAGCTTCCTTTCTCCACAGCCGCATAAGCATTTTGCTGTGGAGGCTCTTCATAAAGAAATTTTGAAATCCGTGTGGATGTCTGGAGCAACGCCACAGCCGCAAGATAACGATCTACTTGAAAGCTCACAACCGGCAAATCTGTATCGGTCTCCTTCGGCTGCAAAAGGCTTCTCCCAAGAGGTGAAACCGACGCCAGAGGACAGCCTTCACAATGAAATGGCTCAAAGCACGTCTCAACCCGACCTTTGGAAGGTGCGTTTTTCTTTTCGTCATCCTCGTGTCTAACATCTTTATCAGGCAGCTGACGAGGACGCACTGGAACTTCTCAAATGGATGGTGTCTTCCCAGGACAACAATTCTGAAGGTGATGTGATAGCAGCCAACGAGCAAGATCACGGCGAAATCGACTTATGCAGACTTTTTGAAGGTGATGGGGTAGAAGCAGCACTTCAGAAAACGTTGTCCACGTTTGAGATTATGTCGCAAAGGGAGTGCCAGGATATTGTCGACTGTTTTGAAGAAGACGGAGAAGAAAAAGAGGTCTTAGTAGCTGAAGAAGATACTTCTGGAATCAGAATTCCGCAGTATGATGGAGCAGGGGATGAAGAACCTCCAGCCGACGTGACTGAGACGGGTAAAAGAGTGGGTAACAGGAGTTGGGGACGGCTTCCGATAACTGTCAAAGGATCACCTGCGAAGCCAGGAAAAGAAGAAGTAAGCGTTGCTGTACCTTTACGTCCCTGTGGATCACCTCAGGAGCAGGCAAGAGAATCCAGGTCGGAAACTTCAGTCCGTGATTTGATGAGAATCAAACGTGGGAAGCAGAAAGGTGGCAGACAACAGGAACCAGAAACTGAGAGCGCTGTAAAACCGCAAGGCTTGAGGAAATGCTTGTTAAACCAGTATGGAGCTCTTCCCTTGCAAAGTCACATGACCACTGAGCCTGTTGAAACTTCCGGTGACAACGAAAACTCACAGCCAGCTGCTGCAGTGGAAAAGGATGTAGTCTTGCCGAAGAATGGAGAGCTGGCGATGATTTTTCACCAGCGGCCTCCAAGTAACAATGATATCCTTGCAAGCTTCAAGAGCTACGGCCTGAAGGACGTGGAGTACCCGAATGTATCTTATGGAGGCTCGGAGGATATGGAAAAAAGTGGTATGTTTCTCAGCTTTTGTGCTCTTGATTTTAACGCCTGCTGCTTTACAGCGGCAATATTTGCTGGTGATCCTGCGAGGAGATTTGATATTGATGATACCGTTATCCATCTTTTAACTCCTGCACTGGCGCCTCCATCGAATTCTTCCGTCTGTGAGTGGCTTGCAAAAGAAAAGCTCGCGTTAAACTCTTTGCAAAAGGAACATGTAGCATCGACACTAGAGACACCATCCGGCAGACCAGCGTCTCCAAAGTACAATGAAATGCACGTACTTTCGGACGAGTTTCAAAGCGGTGAGCACTCAAACACGACGTTGGAAGGGAGTGCTGAAGCTAAACGACGGTCTAGAGATTTTTCTCAGATCACAGGCCCGTCCTTGGCGGCTCATCGGCTTACTCCGGCTAGCCAGACTGGTTTTCGTGATCCTGCAGCAGCTGGTGCTGGTCAGCAAGTCACAGTCATGAGCATAGAGGTATAAGCCTTTCTGATTTATTTATTTACGACTTGAAACTCCAATGCGAGAACATTGGCAGGCTCTTGCTGAAACACGCGGTTCCTTGCGACCGGATCCGCATTACGATTCAATCAGCTGCATTGCGATCGTTGTGGCAGATGATACAGAAACAACAAGAGAGACTATCGCTCTTATCCACGATAAAGAGTTACAAGATGGCAAGAGGTTTGTTGTTTGTGTAAGTCCAGCTTGTTACTGATGTTCCTTTTAAACAGGCCTTCGGATGGTCTTTCATGCTCTCCCAATACAAGCTACTTCCCCACTGAAGTAGCTCTTCTGCAGTTTTTTATCGAGTTGGTACGGGCTTACGATCCAGACATCATAATTGGATGGGAGATTCAGAGGCTTTCTTTGGGATTCCTCGCTGAACGGGCTGCTAATCTTGGAGTTGGTCTTTTGGCATCTATCTCTCGTACTCCACCAAGAAGCGGTCACAACAGCTTGAGCAGCACCTTTTTCTCGGATGGTGAGAAGACTGGTGGAATCGCCGAGGCCAACAAAACCATCATCCAAGACGAATGGGGCCGAACTCACGGAAGTGGAATTTACGTTGGTGGCCGGACTGTCTTAAACCTGTGGCGCATCATGCGAGGAGAAGTCAAGCTTAGCAACTACACTGTAGAATGCGTTGGGGAAGAAGTTCTGAAGAGAAAAGTTCCTCGTATTTCCTGGCGAGACCTGACAAAGTGGTTTGCAAGTGGAGCCGGAGGAAACAGGTTTAGATCCGTCGAGTACTTGATCAACCGAACGGCTTTGAACTTACAAATCCTTGATCAGCTCGATATTGTGAGTGCATACTGTATTTCAAGCCTGTGTCTGACATGGTTTTGCAGGTAAATAGAACCGCAGAGTTGGCAAGAGTGTTCGGTATCGACTTCTATTCTGTATTTTCTCGGGGCTCGCAGTACCGTGTTGAATCTATGATGCTGCGCCTTGCACATTCGCAAAATTTCTTGGCTATCTCTCCTTCTAAAGAACAGGTACTTATGATATTGACGAAGTTTCTCCTTACAACTTATTGTATTGTCTTGTAGGTGGCTGCACAACCGGCAATGGAGTGTCTGCCACTTGTATTGGAACCAGAATCGAAACTCTATACGAGCCCGGTTGTAGTGCTCGATTTCCAGTCACTCTATCCCTCCATGATAATTGCCTACAACCTTTGCTTCTCGACGTGTCTGGGTAAATGCATCTCTCTAAACCCGAAAGTTCTCGGGGTTACTAAATTATGGATACCGCCGTCGCTACTACGGAGTCTAGTGGATAAGTTGATCGTCACTCCCAATGGGATCATGTTTGTTCCACCTGAGGTACCGTATCTGTTTCACAATCTTATGCTGATGCTTACACTCGTTGAACCAGATTGCTCCTGGAGTTCTCCCAAGGTTGTTGCTAGAAATACTCTCCACGCGGATAATGGTGAAGGGCAAAATGAAGAAACTGGATGCATCGCAGAGAGTTCTTCACCGAGTCCGTTGAATTATCTTTTTTCTTTCGAATGGAATGACAGTTGGTTCGTTTTTACAGATTTTCAATGCTCGGCAGTTCGCTCTTAAGCTTATAGCAAACGTCACATATGGTTACGCAGCGGCTGGTTTCAGTGGGAGAATGCCATGCGCAGAGCTAGCTGACAGTATAGTTCAACTTGGAAGGCATACTTTAGAGCAAGCAATCAACATGGTGAACAGCAATCCTGCTTGGGGTGCACGGGTTGTTTACGGCGACACCGACAGGCATGTG